GGGATGGCCACACCACAATCCCTTCTCCTCCATTCTTGGCTTCTACATTTTGTATTTGTTCATATCCTAATGTAGGTTACTATATGTTTTCATTTTTAAAATAGTTTTCTTCTTTTTGTTTGTTTTGTTTTTGCTACAGGGTGTGTGTGCTCACCAGAGAGTAAGAGAGAGGGAGAGGAGAGGGAGAGGGAGAGGGGGAAGGGGAGAGAGAGAGAGAGTAAACACTCCCTGGGAAGATGGCCACAGAACAATCCCTTCTCTTCCATTCTCTTGGGATGTGGGGCATGCATGCACATGCGTGTGCCCTGTGTGTTTTTGAAGCCTCCCAGTAAGCCATGTGGGATTGAACTGCTTTACCCACCATGCCACCAGCTGGCCCCAATTGTTGTATTTTAAAACTTATTTATCTGTTTATTGATTACATTTTTTAGTTTTGCTATGGCGCACACTTGCTTGTCAGAGAAAGAGAGAGGAAGTGAGAAATCATCTCCCCAGGGCGATGGCCATGCTACAGTATTTTCTTCTCCATTTTCTCTTTGGGATTTGGCATACACAAACATGCCTGGTGTGGTTTTCAAACTGCTGGGTCTAGGGCTCAAACCGCACAGTCAGCTATATGGGATCCAGCTGCTTCAACTTCCACACCACCTTAAATACATTTTATTTATTTTTTATTTTAAAACTGAATAGCTGGTATTTAGAGTTCCAAGTTAGGACTCGTCTTAAATTGTGACTCGTATTTGTGCTGCAGGAAGTATGTCATTTTTCCTATATGATCCTCATCTCAGAGCTTCAGTTTTCTGGTTCGCAGAGCTGTAGTATATAATTATATACATAATAGTGTGTAATGTTTACTCCAATAGTACTTTTAAAGATATATGTACAGTCCCTAATGTGATTTCTGGCATAGTATAAAGTTCTGAGAAATGACTGCTGCTATTATTAGAAAGAAGACCATATGTAATTAAGAATTCCAAAGTCCCCTAGCTGTAAACTCAATTGTGATTATCCCAAATTCCGCTATTAGATTAAAAGTTCCTTTTAGGGCCAGCAGGTGGCGTGGTAGTTAAAGTGCCAGACTCACATTGTGTGCTGTGTGGTCTAAGTCCCTGACTTGGTCACTTGAAAATCATGTTGGTTGTGTGTGTGTGTGTGCCCAGAATCCTAAGAGGAGAATGGAAGATGAGGGGTTGCAGCAACCCGGCCAACTCCTCTTAGGGGTAATTTCTCACTGACTCTCTTACTGTCTTTCTCCTGCAAGCACATGTGCCTTATAGCAAAAATCTGAAGAAAAAAAAGTTTCTTTCTTGGTTAGCAAAGGTTATTCATTAGACAAGGCAATTTATTAAGACTTATTTAAGCAAGTGTGTTCCTGAGGGCACAGGTTTCTGGGGTATTAGTAAGTGTTTCGATGGTGGGATGAAGGAAGGTGGAGATACGTGGGTGGGGCTTCTTCATCAGCTAAGTTTGGAAAACACTTAATAAAAATATAAATGAACACACATAAAAATTCAAAGTCTTTGTTATCACAGCATACCACTTCTCAAAGGCTGTTTATTTGCTTTTTCCAAAACATCTCCTGTTTCTTCTTTTTCTGAAAAGTACCTGAGAACATGCTGCTGTAAGACAGCCCTCAATTTCTGCTCTTGTTTGAGCTCCTGTCCTGGGAAATGGCCTAGGGAAGCAATCAGTGTCTACCCGTGTAGCTAAGAGGGACCCCGGAGTGCAAGAGGGATGTAATCCAAGGCCTGGAAGCATTGGCTCATGACTTTTATGCTTCCTACCACAGCTCATGCCCAGACCTACGATTTAGCATGGCGCTGTGTGATCAGGAGAAGATGTTCAGACAACACAGAAAAGAAAACATAAAGGAGAACATGAAGAAACTCTTGGGTCCTAAGAAGAGTGAAGGATTGTATTCTACACGTGACGTGAGTTGGAAACTTTTCTTACCTTATTACTATGTAATAATAATTTTGTTTGGATACTTTTCTCCACACATTTTGCCCAAATACGGCAAGATGGGGATTGCCCATTATTCTTTCAGCTTTTAAAGGTAAGATAGGTTCATAAATAATTCTTTGAGGAAGGTCATAGTGAATGCTGTTTATGTTTGTTGATATTTATCGGATTTATCTTTTGTTGTGCACACTTTATTTTGAAAAACATTGTTGAGTTCACAGCAAAATTGAGGAAAATAGGTAGAGTTTCTATGTACCCCCTATCCCAACACATGTACAACCTCTAATATTAATTTAAGTTTTCCAGAGAAAAAGGACAAATAAAATTTCCTTAAAATTAAATGAAATTAAAATTAAAATTTTATGGCCATATAGGAAATCTGTTATGGGAATTGGAGGTTGACAAATCCTGCAGTATGCCACCAGCAAAGCCATTGGTGCAGTTCAGCTGATGGCCAGAGGCCTAAGAACCAGGGGAGCCTATGGTGTAACCACAAGTGGTATAGTGGTTGGGGCACGGGACTCCCAGATGGTCAGGTGGGGTTTGAGACCCAGACCCAGTAGCATGAAAATCATGCCAGACGCACGTGCATGCATGCCTAAAATCCTGAGAGGAGAATGGAGAAGGGATTGCAGTGTGACCATCCCCCCTGGGGCATGGTTTCTCACTTTCTGTCTTCTCTCTGGCGAGCATACATGCTCTGTAGTGAAAATCTCTCCAAAAAAGAAAAAGTCTGTTTGTTCTTCCACCTTTTTGTTCTACTTGGGTCCTCAGAGGATTCGATCACGCCCCTCCACGTTGGTGAGGGAGGGTCTTCTTTTCTCAGTTTATTGATTCAAATGCTAGTGTCTTTAGAAAACACTCACATAGGCACAACCAGAAGGAATGTTTCACTAGCTGTCTGGGTATTCCTTAGCCCAGTCAAGTGGACAAAACAAACAAACAAAACCTAACAGATGCACTCTCTATCATCATGCCCCACCAGGTGGGACATCTGCTATAACCCGTGAGCCTACATTGACACCTCGCTGTCATCCCACGTCCATAGTTTACTTTGAGACTCACTCTTAGTGCTGTACACGCTGAGTGTTTGGACAAATGCATAGCCATGTATATTCCATTACAGTATTGTACTGAATCGTTCATGTTCTAAAACTCCTCTGCGTTCCACCTGTTCCCTCGGTAATTGCTGGTTATTTTACTGTTTCCATAGTTTTGTCTTTTCCAGAATGTCGTATAATTGGAAGCCAATAATATTCAGTCTTTTCAGATTGTCTTCTTTCACTTATATAAATTTAAGTTTCGGCTATCTCTTTTTATTACTTGGTAGCTCATTTCTTTACAGTGCTGAATAATATTCTGTTGTCTTACCTGTGCCACAGTTTATGTATCAGTTGAGACAGTTTTTTAAAGACATGTGTTATGCTTAAATGTGACATTTATTTCATAAATAAAAAGTTTAGTCTCAGATATACAAGGATTGTTGGATTAATTTTAATATCAACTAAAAGGAAACTGTGGAAATCATCATTACCCAGCAAAACATCCTTAAATCTGGCTTATGATAATACAATGAACAAATGTAGGTAAATGTGATGGGGAAGATAAGAGAAATGTTCCAAATTTGTTATCATAGCAGGGAGTTAAAAGATACCATCCAAATGAACCAAGTAGTTAAAAATAAAGATGTCTACATTGTAAATGTTTTTTATAGTCCTAGTTACAGAAACATGTTAAATTAAAAATGTTATGAAAATATGATCATTTTCATTCTTTCCTTAAATTCTAGTAAAATATAATGACTTTTTTTTCCCCCTCTATCTCTTTTTTAAAATTTGCTGTAGGGCATGTTTCACTCACTGGAGAGAAACAGAGAGAGAAAGTAAGAAAGCACCTCCCATGGGAGATAGGCATGCCAGAGTTCCTTTCCCTTCTTCATTCTCCTCTTGGGATTTCGGTTATGCACGCACACTCACCCAGTGTGTTTTTTAAGCCTTTGGATTCAGGACTCAAACCATGTAATTGGCCACATGGGATCCAAGCACCTTAACTATCATGCCACTGGCTGGCCCAAATGACATTTATTATTCAACCACCTATTTCATAAGTTACTTTTGGCTATCTATTCACTCCTTTATCCCTTTGTTCATCTATCTCTATCAAGGAATCAATCAATCATCTATCTAATCTACCAGTCTTCTCTGTCTCTTGGTCTTTCTATCTGAAACCTACAGAAAATTCACTGCCATGATTCTTGTCGGACGATCGGATGAAGCTTCTTTTTAGTGACCTATGAGGTAGTATTTTAGTTTCTTATTTGAGCCTTTCTGTTCATTGAATATTTTAAATGAATATGATTAACTATAGTTTCGCAAAAATAATATCTTCATGAAAGGCATAATAAATATATATGTGCACACTCCTGTGTGCCCATGCACAAACACACACACTGGGAATCAGGATTATTGCAAATTAGTGGTAAAATGCAATTGGAAATGAGTCATAAAATGTTAGTTTGGGAGCGAGAGGTGTACTCCTATCCAATGTATGACTGCAGGTTTTTTTCCCCCAATGATTACAGATTTTTTTTTTTTTTTGAGAGGTTTTTGCTATAGGGTGCGTGCGCTCGCCAGACAGACAGAGAGAGACAGAGAGACAGAAAGCGAGAAATCACCCCCCAGGAGGGATGGCCACACCACAATCCCTTCGCCTCCATTCTCCTCTCGGGATCTTGGGCACGCACGCACACGCACCCGGCATGAGTTTTTAAGCCACCGGGTCCCTGACACGAACCGCAGTCGACTACGTGGGAGTCCAGCGACAGAGCCATTACGCTAACTGCTGGTCCCTGATTACAGATTTTTAAATATGCTCTTCAGTGAACTTAGGGTTACAAAGCCAGTCTGCTGATGCTGGAGTGGCTAATGCTGCTGTGCGAAGAGACTCTTAAGATGTCGTTAATGGGGAATTTTTGCTAAAAGGAAATTAAGGGGAAAAGCAAAACCTCCATTTAAATTTCTATGGAAAAGAAAAAGAGAGAAACTTTTCTTCAATCCTGATCTCATTTGTCACCGTAGCAGATCCTTGATAGAATTTGTGGTTGGCTACTTAGTCTTGGGAGAGGCTTCCTTCTCTACATATTACTCAGAAATTTCTACTCTTGGTGAGTTGTCGATACTTAATAAAACTTTCAACAGAGTTTTAGAACTTTCTTCTTGTCTCCATCCTTGCTTAAATATTATTATACACTGTAGCATAAAAAGATATTTTAAAACTCTTTTTCATTTCTGTTGTCATTTATTGAGATGCTATGCTAGGTATTGAAGAAGAAGAATAAAGCCGGGATGGTTAATACCAGTTACTTTCCTTAGCAAATTTAAAGCCTCATTGGGGCAGGAAGATATTTAAGTAGATAAAACCAGTGCCGTGTTAAATTATTAACAGAGCTGTGACTGGAGGGAATGCAAGAGCTTCAGAAAGGCTGACCCCCTCTCTGTGGTGGAGAGGACAGGAAGTCCTCATACAGGTGAAGACTGTTGACCACACCTAGAGGAATGTACTTGCTTGAAGAGGAAGGAGGAAACTCATCCTTCTGCTAACCTATGGTCATCAACTTCCCTGGGGAAACACCACCTTGCAGTCTCAGAGATCCTCACCTAGTTGTTTCAAATTTGCAATTATTGTTTTCACTCTCCACTTCTTTTTATTTTTTTTTACTTTTTATTTTAGAGAGAGATTTTTGCTATAGGGTGTGGGCGCTTGCTAGAGAGACAGAGACAGAAAGCAAAAATAACACTTCCTCTGCCCCGCCCCCAGAGATTGCCATGCTGCAGTCCTTCCTCCTTTCTCCTCTTAGGATCTTGGGCATGCACACACACACGCACCTGGTGTTGAGTTTGAAGCCTCTGGGTCCAGAACTTGAACCACGGTCAGCTGGGTGGGAGTCCAGTGATGTAACCATTACGTTATCTGCTAGTCCCTTCACTCCCCACTTGAGAGCTACCTCCTGCTCCCCTCGTAGACTTGCTCATTCTGCTGTTAAAAGAGAGATTTTTGCTATTGGGCACATATATTCATCGGAGAGACAGAGACAGAGACAGAGAAATCACCCCCCCAAGGGATTGTGGTGTGACCACGAAAGTGTGGTGTGACCATCATACCACAATCCCTTCACCTCCATTCTCCTCTTGGGATTTGGGCACGAACGCACACGCGTCCGGTGTGAGTTTTAAGCCACCGGGTCTGGGACGCGAACCGCAGTGGACTACGTGGGAGTCCAGCGACATAGCCATTACACTAACTGCTGGTTCCCAGACTTGCTCATTAATCAAAGAGAAATCAGAAGTTCCAAGGTGACAAATCCTTTGTGTTTTTGTTTTGTTTTGTTTTGCCATAACATTGTCATACTCCACAACCTTGGGGAGCCTCTGCAGATTCCCTCCTTTGCCAGAGGGCATTTCCTTTTCTTTCGAGTGCAAATTCACATCAGAAGGGGATCACCAGGCCCTCTTTTTTTTTTTTTTCCCCAATACTGTTTTTATTGATATAATTCTTATAGTTACTAGTGAGTTATGGTAATGGTTTTCCATTTATGGAAGCAATATCATGCTTCTTGTTAAAGTACATGAATTTAAGTAAAAACATGAATAAAAAAATACTTCCTATCTCATAGGAAGTATTATAGTACATAGTTTTATGCAGATTTGGCAAAGATCAGGAAATATTCTGCTGATTAAAATTTGCATTGTCTCATTCCATTCAACAACTTTGTCAGGAAAATACTATTTTAATCTCAATCTGGTGTATAACGAAATTGAGATTTATGGAGAATAAGTAATTTGTCCATTGCCATCCAGTAGCAAGTACCAGCCCTGGGATTTGAACCTGGTCTATCGGTTTTCCAGTCCTTCTCAGGATACTCTCTTTAATGTTCCCAGCATCTCCCTCTGTATAGATATTGTCAGTAAAA